TGCCTAATCTAGAGGGCTTTGGCCTGAGGTAGAATTTTGGGATGTCTGAGACTTCAGTGGTGTCACATGTTCTTCTTGAACATAATGTCCATCTATCTTTAGTGCTTTTCTACTCATTTCTTCAACGTGGAGTGAGCAAACTATTCATGTCTCTGAAGGGGCAGAGAAACCAAGACCATGGCTGAACACAGGTGGTTGTATTAGAGCGCATCTCTTTTCCTTAGGTCTGCCTGAGAGAAGGCCTGGCAGCCTCTAATTACCGGTCCTTACGTATGCGAAGACAGGAATTAGCTGATTTAATTTCTGTACCCTATTTCTCATTGGTTAAGTTATCATCAGTGAATGTTCCTAGTATCCCTCCAGTGCCCAAGACAGAGATGTGGGTATCATTCTTAAATCTTTCCTTTTCTCTCTCACCTCTACCTGACCCATATTCAGCCAGCTACCAGGTATTTCTTTTCCACATTACTTCATAGAGTTCTTTCCATTCCTCCTTTTACCAACCTAGTCTAAATCACCATCATTTCCTATGAGATTAACATGAGGTATCCTAATTGTCTTGCCTTCGTCCCCCCATGCCATCTCCTTAATGAACAGAGACACATTTAATTCTGTATACTGCAAAATGGAATCAGTGTAACCTAGTAGTTGAAGATTCACACTCTAACCAGAGTGTCTGCATTTGAATGCTGACTCATTACTTTGACAATGCAGTTATGTAAACTTGGATAAATCTCTAAGCTTCAGTATATATAAGAGAAAAAGAAAAACTTTCCTGATTGGATTGCTCTGAGGATTAAGTGGCATAAACATTTAGCACACAGCTTGGTACATAACAAGCACTCAAAATTCACTGCAACAACAATAACCACAAACTACAAAGCTGAGCATTCCACTCTTAAAACATTATAACCTCACCATTTCTTCGGGAATAAAGTCCAGATCCCTTTGGCCTGCCATGCACATCCCAGCTCCCTCCTCCAGTCCCTTCTCTCACTGCACCTGCCCACAGTTGTGTCCGTCCTAACCACATCCACCATCCCTGGAGTCCATGCTTTGCCTGTCTTTTGGTCATTGCAGTTTACCTGGAGCACCTGTGCACCCAAGACTGGCCGTTTCCTTTCCCCTCCCTGAGCTCCAGTCAGTCCTTTGTGTGTGACTGACATCTACTCATCCTTTAGGTCTCACTTCATCTATTGGTTATTCAGAAAGCTGTCCCTTGATACTCCAGGACTCCAAGGGGCTTTCGAATGCCTCCTTCCCAGCAGTTGGCACACTGTGTCACAGCCATGGGTACCTGTCTCCGTATGCTCTGCCTGACTGTAATGGCTTTGAGAATAGAGCCTGGGTCATTGTTGTTGTTTTCCTTATTCTCTCTCTCTCTCTCTCTCTTTTTCTTTTCCTCCCCTTTCTCTTCTTTCCTTCCTTTCTTCCTTCTTTCCATGAGAGAGGGACAGAGGCACCCCACCAGGGTCCTCACCCCATCATCCACCCCCAGTCAGCCCCAGATGATCAGCATGTATGTCCACACCTGGCGTGTGCAGGGAGGCCTCGGGACACAGACCCTGAACTTTTCCCTGTGAGTCCAGCATCACAAAGAGCATTATGTTACCACTGCTCCACCATCTGGCCCCCATCTTTGCTTTTTTTTACCTACTTGTTGGCAATTTCATTCAGTTGTATTAAAAATATATTAATAAATTCGTTCCCAGTTAAGGATGTATTTTACGAAGTTTCATGATGCCTAGTACATAATTGGCACCTCATTAATATTTGTTAAATAAATAAATGGCTATTTAAACCTTTGTACATTCTTAATTGACACCTCTTTATCTTGTGTGGATCCATTTACTAGTTTAAAAATCCTAAAATTAGTTATATTTCCTAAAATTTTAAAGTCTAAGAAATCTTCAAGTTATTTTATGTAAATATGTTAGATAATTTAGTAAAGTTGTGTAATTTTTTTGTGGGGGAGGATAGTGCAGTTGAGGAAATTTGCATATGGATGAACATTACATAATATGAACTTATTGTTAATTTTCTTAGATGTGATTATGGGACTGTTGATATGTAGGAAAAAGTCCTTGTTCCTAGAAAGTACATATTGAGTTATTCAGGAGTGAAGGGCTATGATTCCTGCAGCTTGCTTTCAAATAGCTCAGCAAAATAAATTTTGTAAACACATAAAAATTGTGCCTGCAACATGTATCAAGCACTCTGTTGGATAGATGGCGTGTTCATTGTATTTTTTCTTCCACATTTTCTTTGAGTTTGACATGTAAACAAATATAAAGAACTGGGAAAAGTAGAAAAAATTTGATGAAAGCAAAGTGCAAGTCCTGGAGCAGCAGGCGGGCAGGCCCTTTTCTGTCCAGGGCCACTTCCTCCACCCCCCAACTTGTATGTGTATGGCCACAGACCAGACTCCTGTGGTGTGTGAGCCTAGTGTCATTAGCCAAAGTTTGGAGCACCGTGAACATCTCCCAATAAACTTAACAGAGACGCTTGAGGAAGAATTTTGTCTTATTTTTAGCATTTTCAGTGTTCTTAGTGCAGGCATTTAAAAACTGTTGACTGAGAATACACAAAAATAAAGATTGCCTGGAAATAGGAGAACCTATCAGTGACGTTTTTCAAATCCACTAGACATTTGTTAAGTTTAGAAGAATTGAGCTAGTTAAAAGACCAATAAAGGTAAATTGGTTCCAAAGTAAGGGGAAGGCGTCTTAAACTTCTCTTCTATGCGTGCAATATTTCATACTGTTTTTGCTTTCAGTAATAACACTCACTTTTTTGAATGAATGGTCAAAGCACTTTAGTGGAAGCCTACCGTTTCCCTGTGCATGGGGAAAATTCGAGGTTGGTGAGAAATCTTCAGAGGGTGGCACGTGCAATTATGCTTTGTTCCTTGGTGAGCTATGAGTCGGGGCACTTAATTATGTAAAAGATACCGCAAGAGAGCAGTTGTATAATCCCCAAGAGAATAATTATTGTCTGCCTTGGCAGAATGCAAGGCTTTTAATCTGTAAATAAGCAGTTCTGTGTGGAAGGGCTACATGCAGAGTGCGTCTGTGTAGTAAAGGTCTCTTATGAATTTTTTAAAGTGAAAGCAGTAACTGCATGTGCCGTTGGCCGCTGTTTGTGTTTCAAAGGACTTAGGAGGCTTCCCTTGTGGTTTTAACCCCTCTGAAATATTTACGCCTTTGAGAATGATTCCTGTAAAGGCTAAAACTGTGTCTAAGTTAAGCCTTTGAAAAAATCCCAGTGTTTCAAATGTAGAGGAAGTAAAATGTACTGTCTGCAAATTAAAAAAACAATAAAGATCAAAAACAAAACCAGCAAAATAAAACATTGACAGCACTTATGTCGTGTGCTTATTGAAGGTTAACTTGTTTATTTAATTTTTTAAAGCAACTTTATTTTTGTACAAGTGACATAAAATAAACCATGTTAAAGTTTGACATGTGTATGTAAATAAAGTTACTATGTGGCATTGCAGCTGATACTACTAAAGAGAATTGATTCTCTTTCAAGGCATGTATAGTCTGCTTCAGTGGATCTGTGTCTTTTAGATACTGAAAGTAAACGTTAACTTTTGTGTTTTAAGTTGCTGGTAGCACCTGCCTTTCCTCCTATCTCTCCTGTCAGTGTGGATGGGCTGACCGTCTTCTCACTAAGCTTCTGCACTTGAACACCCAGTCCTCCTCTGCTTCTCTACTCAAGGACTTCCTTCGGGTGCCTGTCCCTTTCACCTGCATGGCCAGTGTTCCCTCTCTAATAAGTTATTTCCATCAGAAGAGAAACATATCATATCTTGCACTGTTTCGTAAAAACCTTCCCTTGGCCTCTATTTCTCTGTTCCTCTTTGCAGCAAACTCAAGAGTCTATACTCTGTCTTCACTTCCTCTCCTCCTATTGTCTATGGAAACGAGACTCCCAGTAGCCTTTCATTCTCATCCCTCACATAGAACCTCCTCCTTTCTATTAGGTTGTCGAGAAAGTCATGACATATTTTTCTATACAAAAATGCATCATGGAACCAGCAGTTAGCGTAATGGCTATGTCGCTGGACTCCCACGTAGTCGACCGCAGTTCGTGTCCCGGACCCGGTGGCTTAAAACTCACGCCAGGTGCGTGTGCGTGCGTGCCCAAGATCCCAAGAGGAGAATGGAGGAGAAGGGATTGCGGTGTGGCCATCCCCCGGGGGGTGATTTCCTGCTTTCTGTCTCTCTCTCTCTCTCTCTCTCTCTGTCTGGTGAGCGCACGCACCTTATAGCAAAAACCTCTCCAAAACAACAACAACAACAACAACAACAAAACAACAAAAAGAAGAAAAAAAAAAAAAAGAAAAACATCAGTGTCTTTCCTCTGGCCCAAGGCCTCTGGTGGCTTCCTGTAACATTCAGGATAAAAGTAACATTCAGGGTAAAAGTTGGCCAACGCTGTGCCTTTTCCAACCCCACTACCCATCTAGTTCACCTTCTGCTGTTCTCTGCCTCTGCCTCTGCACTGACCCTTCTCAATACTCAGACACTTGGCCTCGGTACCTCGGTACAGGATGACTCTGTAGGCTGAAATATTCCGTCCTACAGGTCTGCATGGCTTTCATCATCAGCCCTCAGATTTCTGCTCCATCGTCCTCTTCTCAAGGAGGCCACCTCTGGCCATCCTGTTTAAGATCCCTACAGCCCTATCCTACCAGCTCTCCTGATCCCTTCTCCAGTTTTATTTTTTTCTATTTCACTTACCAGCGCGTGAAAATAAAACTACTTTTTGGTGAGGTTTTTGGTACTCCTGTTTTCTCATATTCGAATGTAAGTTTCTTGAGGGTAGAAATTCTGTCTCCCTGTTCGTAATTGATACTGCAAGGAGTCCTTGGAGAGCTACCACTAAAGTTGATCGACACTTCTTGTCATTTTTATAGCAGCCTGGGCATGGCAGAAGACAGAAAGCTTTCAGAATAATTTGCTATATACTAATAGCTATTTCTCCTTCTTCAGTTTCTCTGTTTGAAGAACATAAGGACATTTCTCACGGCCTGTTGCGAGACGTTTGGAATGAGGAAGAGCGAACTCTTTGAGGCATTCGACCTGTTTGATGTTCGTGACTTCGGCAAGGTAATTACTTTCATATTGTGTTATATTGGGGAACATTTGGGCAAATTATTTCAAATCTTGAAGTAGGACCTGCGACTTAGGTGGATTTAAGAATTATTTGCATTGTACTCACATGTAGATGGCTTAGCAAAAACAGGACAAAGCAACAATAGTAACAACGAAGAACAAACAACAGCAACAACTTTCCAAGTGAGATTAGAAGTATTTTGCAATTATGGCAATATAAGGAAAACCTTTTATCCAGAGGTAGCTTTTCCTACTGGTTACCCTAGAAGATGGGTTGCCCGTTACCCATCTTTTAGGCAACTCTCTGGGCACGCTCGTCTGAGGACCAGTACTCTCTTTCTCTCCAGTCTTGTCTGTCTTTCTGGGAAGCATCCAATTTCTGGAAACAGAGCCTGTTCTGTTGCCCTTTTCTCTGTTTTGACCCTTGGGTAGGTGACCTGGAGAAGACATGAGTCACTGACATGCTAGAGATTGTTGAATAATGTCTATTTCTTGGATTTCAGCAACTATTTCTTAGATTTATTGGATTTCAGTGATATTTTTCATGTGGGCATTTAAAAAAATATTTATTTAATTTTACTTATTATTTAATTTGCTATAGGGCACATGTACTCCCCAGAAAAAGCAAGCTGCTATGTACAGGACTCGAACCGCTGTTGCCCATGTGGGAGTGCAGTGTCTCAACTATCATACCACTTACTTGTCCCCAACATGGAGACAAGGAGAAGGCCTGGCTCCTATCTGGCCTAGATCCAGAGTCACTTGTGATCTTCTAGAAGTCACTAGCCTTCTCAGTCATCAGACTACCGGCTAGCTTGGAAGACTATGGAAAGGAAATAAGTTTAAGAATATAAGAATATGGTTTCTAAGCATTTTTTGTTTTCTGGCAAGCTGTGATTTAACTGTCTTGTGGTCGAAATAAAAAGTGATGGAGGATAAAATATGGTAAGAACAGGGAACTGAAAGTCAAGCTCCTAGTACGAAAATGGTAGCGTATTTGTCTAGGGCAGCCTAGTGCAGCCATAGAGGCAAAAAGAAAATTGAAGCCCGGGTGAGTCAGACACTTCTCTAAGCTGTCAGCCCTGAAAAGTGCCAGAGATATTCCTGTTTTGTCCTACTTTGACCCATCCTCTTACTATTTTTAAAATAATCTTTTTCTTTCCTCTTTTTGGTGGTCGGGGGAGGTAGAAATGAAAACTGAAAATGAATTGGGGAAATGAAAAATTACAAAAAGTCTTGGCTTTTTAAAGCTCATTAAAGAGCTATCTATTTTTCATTTAAATTTGGAAGAAATGATGTTGCTAAGGATTGGGGAATAATATGGCACCAGCATTTGGCTTAATGGCTATGTTGCTGGACTCCCACTTAGTCGACTGTGGTTTGAGTTCCGGAGCCGGTGGCTTAAACTCACTTTGGGCATGTGTGTGTGCGTGCCCAAGATTCCGAGAGGAGAATGGAGGAGACGGGATTGTAGCTTGGCCATCCCCCCTGGCGGGGGTGACTTTTCACTTTCTCTCTCTCTGTCTCTCTGTCTCTCTCTGTCTTTTTGGTGAGCACATGAGCCCTATAACAAAAACCTCTCCAAAAAAAGAGAAAAAAAAAGATAAATACTTTATATACTTTAACAATGCATGGCTTTGTTCTAGTGGATAATATTGCCTTCCAGATTGATTAGACAGTGTGTGGAAGCTTTGTGGGAGAGTTGAGATTACAGAAAAATTGAACGTAAAGAAATAAACTGTATTCTGCTTAAGGATAAATATAGTTTGTTCTTTCTTACAAATTGCTTTTTTTTCTTTTTTCTTTTTTCTTTTTTTTTTTTTTTTTTTTTTACAGTTTTTGCTATCGTGTGCATATACTTGCCAGAGAGACAGAAAGCAAGAAATCAAGAAATCACCCCTGGTTGGGGTGGGGGGGTGGTGGTGGTCATGCTGCAACCTCTTCTCCTCCATTCTCTTTTCGAGATTTTGGGCACAGATACACGCATACACGCTCCTCATGAATTTCAAGCCTCTGGGTCAGCCATGTGGGAGTGCAGCAATGTAACCATTATGCCATCTGTTGGTCCCAGGATAAATATATTTCTGGCTACTTAAAATATTTTGTTAGTCTGAAAAAGAATTAAACTTGGGATTGCGATTTAGAACGTGAACCTATGCTTGCTATTTTAATGTCACATATATTTTTTCTGCTGCCAATACTGGTATAATTTTCTCGTCAAGATTGTGTTAGACAAAAAGAAACTAGTGAAAGCTAAAGAATTCAACCAGTATTAGTACTATAAAATATTATAGCGTGATCTTTAAAAAAGTTCATAGAAAATGCATTTTATAAAAAAAAAAAAAAAAGAAAAACAACTTTTGCTGGATTTAAATTGGGGAGGGTACCAAAATAAGTTTATATGATTTTAAGAATATATATACTATAGAGTATGTGTACCTGCTAGAGAGAGACAGAGTGAGAGGGATAAAGAGAAAGTGAGAAAGTACCCCCAGAAGGGATGGCCAGAACGCAATCTCTTCTCTTCCACTGTCCTCTCAGTATTTTGGGCCTACACACACATGTACTTGGCATGTTTGTCAAGCTTCCATATCTGGGACTTGAACTATGTAGTTGGCCATGTGGGATCCAGCTACCTTAACCACCATTCCACTGTCACTGGTTGCCCCTCCATGAACTTTTTTTTTTTAAGTGTTTTCCAGAGGGCATTGTGTGCTTGCCAGAGAGAGACAGTAAGAGGGACAGTGAGAAACCACTCTCCAAGAGAATGGCCATACCACAATCTCTTCTCCTCCAGTCTTCTCAGGAGATTTTGGGCATGTACGCACACATGTCCAGCATGATTTTCAAACCACTGAGTCCAGGTCTTGAACTGTTGTTGGCCATGTGGGAGTCCAACATCTTAACCACCACACCACCTGCTAGCCCCCTTCACAAACTATTTTGTTTTTTTGAGAGGTTTTCGCTATAGGGTGTGTGCACTTGCCAGACAGACAGAGAGAGACATAGAGACAGAGAGTGAGAAATCACCCCCCCAGGGGGGAATGGTCATGCCACAGTCCCTTCTCCTCCATTCTCCTCTCATGATCTTGGGAATACACGCGACATGCGCCCGGTGTGAGTTCTAAGCCACTGGGTCTGGGATGCGAACCGTGGTCGACTACATGGGAATCCAGCGACATAGCCATTATGCTAACTGCTGGTTCCCCCAAACTATTTTTTTAAGAGAGGGGTTTTTTTTTTTTTTTTTACCATAGGGCATATATGCTCCCCAGAGAAAGAGAGAGACTGAGAGATAGAAGGTGAGAAATTCCCCCCCTTCCCGCCCCAACAGGGAGCCATGTTGTAATCCCTTCTTCTCTAGTTTCCTCTTGAGATTTTAGGCACTCGCGCACATGCACCCGGCCTGAGTTTGAAGCTGCTGTGTTTGGGACTTGATCTACAATTGACCATGTGGGAGTCCAGTGACAGAAACAGTATGCCATCTGCTGGTCCCTCCACAAACTTTTTTGAAGTCACTTCGTATACTCTAGATAAAACCATCCATAATTACAACATGTGGGTATCTTTTCAATCTTTATATATATATATATGTGTGTGTGTGTGTGTGTGTGTGTGTGTGTGTGTATAATTTTTTTGATCCTCATAACAACTTCATGAGTTAGGTACTATTATTTTCTTCATTTGCAGATGAGAAAACTTGTATGTCAAATCTCAATTAAAATAGGAATTGAAGGAGTGATCTGAACCCAAATGTGGCTGATTCTCATCTCCTGTACCACAGTGCACACATCAGATAGCACCTGACATGTGTCAACATGGCCTGAAGAGCTTTGCCTGTATTGATGCAATCTTCACATCAGTGCTGTCATGTGCATACTCACTTTATCAGTCCTAGCTTGTGAGTGATAGGACTTGGATCATTTATGCAGTTTAAAATGTTTAAGTTGGAGGCCAGTAGGTGGTGTGGTGGTTAAGGGCACTGGGCTCCCACATGGCTGACTGCAGTTTGAGTCCTGAACCTGGTGACTTGCTTTCTCACTTTTCCTCTCTCTTTCTCTCTCTCTCTCTGTCCTTTCTGGTCAAAATAAAATAAATAAGTAAGTAAATAAATAAAGTAAAATAAAATAATTCTTTAAAAACATTGTTTTTGTTTTTGAGAGGTTTTTGCTATAGGGCTTGCCAGAAAGACAGAGAGAGACAGAGAGGCAGAAAGTGAAAAATCACCCCCCAGGGGGATGGCCATGCTGTAGTCCCTTCTCCTCCATTCTTTTCTTGGGATCTGGGGCATGCATACACACACGGCCAGCGAGGGTTGAAACCATTGGGTCCGGGATTTGAACCATAGTCAACTTCATGGGAGTCCAGCAACATAGCCATTATGCCAACTGCTGGTCCCCCCCAAATTTTAAGTTGAAAAAATGTGAATAGAATGTTAATTCAGAGACAAAACAATTCCTGATATTTTGAATATGAATTTTAACAAAATGTAGACAGGTTAGTTTATTTCCCATCATTCCTTAGCATTTAATTAAATTTTCAATTAACTTAAAATGAAAAATATCCGTTTGCATGTTTTCCTGTTTGCCAGTTCATACAAGTTGTGCATCTAGAATTCATGTATATTTGACAGTCTTTCATATAAGAATATTTTGATTATAATAACAGTATCTAAAGTTTTTCATAGCATTTCAATTTCTACTATGCTTAATATTACTGATTTCATTTGATTCCCACAATAGTGTTATGAAGGCAGTGAACAAATGTTTCCATTCTTCAGACGAGGCAACTAAGACATGGGTGAGGTTAAGTGGTGATTTTAGTTTCCTTTCTTGTATGAAGGGACAGGAATAGGGACTGGAACTCAGGTATTTCGTCTCTTCATTTCTCTGTTTTCCTTGTCTGCTCTCTGTGCTTGGGTCTCCCAGCTGTGTGGATAATCAGAGAAAAGGGTGAATTTACAGGAGAAAACCAAAAGAATTTACAAAATTAAA